TATTTCAAAAAGTTGGCAGAGGCCAATGAACCTATTCTTGGTCCGTTTTGTTTGATACAGGAACATTCACACATGTCTTGTTTTAAACAGATGCCAAAATCATTCTGAAAATGTGCTGGAACATTGATGGTGATTTCCCAGAGCAGAAGCCCTGGTGTTCCAGTAAGTTCAGTGCCCACACAATGATCAAGAAGCCAATGCAGATGGCTAGCTCTGCAGGGAGCAGTTCATTCTTTCCAGGTGGACTGCAATTCACAACTAGCCCACAAGAACAACACTGGCACCACAAGTAGATCCACTGATGCAAAGTATTCAAGCTGAACTTAAACGCACTGTGCACCCAGATTTTGATAGGGCCTTTAAAATGAACAGGACAAGCAGGAAAGATGGTAATGATGACAAGAACCATTCAGCTCCTTGTTTTTATTCAAATCTTGAAGTTTTTATGGGACAGGGGAAGCATGCCAAAGCTCAACAGAAACGGAATGGAACTTTTTTGCTGCCATGAAAGGAACAAGTCAGAACACAAATTCTGCCAGTGGTTCTAAAGCCTGTCTGTTGGCCTTCCAGGGCAGCTGGTTGGCCACTGTGTGATAGATGGACCATTGGCCTAAACTGGCAGAGGTCTTTTCATGGTTTTACTTATTCACAAATTTTAAGCGAGTCCCATACCATATTTTTCAGGGCCCAATCGCAAAGTAACTGCATGCTGTTTCCCCCCTCACATTCATAAAATGCAGGAATCACATATCACATCTTTCATGTATGGTATTTATAAATGTATATCATGACTAAGCAACAGGTTGTGTTTCATTACTATTTCACGCAATATACAGAGGGCAAAGCCAGATTTGCCACTGAGCCTCCTCTGCCAGCTCTCCCTGTTCCTCTTCCTGCCCCCTTCCTTTGTGAACCTATGACAGAGTTTTGACCCATTTTTGGGTCTGCTCTTGACTCACAGTTTGAGAACCACTGAACTATGTACAATGTTTGGCAAATCGATGTTGTTAAAAGCAGGACAGACATATTAGAAGCTGCTGAAGACAGTTAATTCTACTGAAAGCAAATTGACTGCATTCCTCCTCAATAAAAATAGCTCTGGAGCTGGATAAACCAACTCCGGGGCTGTTTTTAGTGATAGGGAGTACAATCAATTTGCTCTCAGTAGAATCTGAATGAGGGTGTCATCAAAAAAGCACTGGACAGAGTCTTTAGTAAGATAAAGACTTTCTTTCTGGAAGTGCTTTAAAAAAATCCCTCACTGAACATTAACCTCCTGCCACTGGATGGTGTCAGAGAACTGTAAACAGACTTCCAAACAAGGCTATCGAAATAATCTGCACTTCGCTTGCACTGAAGCAGCTGTTTAACTGAGGGAAAGCAAGGGATTTGAAGGGAGCTTTGTCTCTTGTTTCAATTTTGTTACAGAACTGGAAAAGATTCTCCTCAATTCCCCTCAAAGTCTACTACAAGCATGGCTACAGCCATCGTCCTTCACTGATAACTTTCTAGACGAACTTCACAAAAAAACGAATAGGGGGGAAAAAGTAATTGATTCCCTCACAAGGGACAGACTAGAACCCTGTTGCTAAGCTCTATGTATATTTTGCGGTGTATGCATTGCTAAGCATCAGAAGTATACAAACCAAGCAAGTATAGCTGTTATAAATTCAGAAATATGGGCATACTTATAATGAACATTTAAAGAAATAATGGCTCCCTTAAGGTACCCCCCCTTTTAAGTCGGTTGCAATGCTCAGTGCTGTAGTAGCTACAGGGAGATTTTTCAGAATGAAGTTAAAGGGTCACAGTGAACTTCAAACACTCACCTTGAACCAGGGAAAATCCTGGGTGGGAAGGTGGGAGGAATCTGGAGCACTGCCACTGATTTTTTTTTTTTAAAGCTCTCGAATAGTGTCAGCCTGAGCAGGCTTATACCCTTTTAACACCATGGAAGCTTAAAAGTGTGCAACTCTGCTTAGGGCAGCTCTGTAAAATAGTTTGGGAGAAGTCTCTCCTTTTAAAGAAACTGTCATGGCACATTTTTTAAAAAATGCCTGCTATTCAAAGCATTCTTAGGATGGCAGAAATACAGAGCAATCCTAAGCAGAGTTGTACCCGTCTCAGTTCACTGAAGTCAATGGGCTTATGAAGGGTATAAATTCTGTTTAAGATTACACTGCCAGAGAGCCATTAGCCCCACTGTGGCTATAGTCCTGAGCATAAAGGGCTCAGAAAGCGCCAAAGTAGGATTATAGTTGAACACCAAGACAACAAAGAATTACAGACTACTGGGGAATTACACAACTTTAAGGCTGACAATCAAGAAATTGAAATTGTTCAAGATTTCCTGTTCCTTGGCTGCATCATTAACCAAAAGAGAAACTGTACCCAAGAAATCAGAAGGCGACTGAGACTGGAAAGGGCACCTATGAAGGAACTAGAAAAGCCACAGTATTCCCCATCACTATGTATCGATGTGAAAGTTGGACAATAAAGAAAGCTGACAGGAAGCAAGCAGATTCCTCTGAAATGTGGTGATGGAGGAGAGTGTTATGGATATCATGAACTGCCAAAAAGACAGACAAGTGGGTTCTAGATCAAATCAACCCTGAACTCTCCCTAGAGGCTAAAGTGATTAAACAGAGGCTATCGTACTTTGGTCACTGTATGAGAAGACAAGAGTCACTGGAAAAAACAACAATGCTAGGAGAAGTTGAAGGCAGGAGGAAAAGAGGAAGACCCAACATAAGATGGATTGACTCAACTGAGGAAGCCACAGCCCTCAGTTTGCAAGACATGAGCAAGGCTGTTAATGATAGGACGTTTTGGAAGACATTAATTTCTAGGGTCACCATAAGTCGGAAGCAATTTGATGGCACTTAACACACAAGCACACACACAAAGGGCCAGCTTAGCCACTGTACTAAGTGTGCTAGGTTCCAGACATTCCCCCTGATGTAGTGAAAAATGAAACAGAAGGTGCTTTTTGCAGTACTTTTAGAAGCCAAGGGATCTGTGGCCCACCTGCACCTGACAATTAGGAAGGCAGACTATATCTCCAGAGAGCTACCTGTGCTAGGCTGTTGTAGCAAAAATAAACTGGAGCACTGTAACACCTTAAACTCTAACAGCCTTCTGATTCTAGCACAGGTGAGAAATATTTAGCTAAGTTGTGCAATTAAGCCAGCTATATAGAGAGGAAGCACAAATTCAATTTTGGCCTTGACTATTACCCCACCTTTCATCCCAATGGGGATATAAAGCAGCTGATTTCATCCCCCTCTCCTCCATTTTATCCTCACAATCCTCCTTGTGAGGCAGGTGAGGCTGACTGCATGTGACTGGCCAAAGGTCACCGAGAAAGCATCCCTAGCCGAGTGGGGCTTCGAACCGAGCTCTCCCAGATCCTAGTCCGACACTCAAGCCACCACACCACACTAGGGGACATGATGAGTTTGGTGTAGTGGTTAAGTGTGCGGACTCTAATCTGGGAGAACCGGGTTTGATTCCTCACTCCTCCACTTGCGCCGGCTGATGTGACCTTGGGTCAGTCACAAGCTCTGGCACAGTTGTCCTTGAAAAAGAGCAGTTTGTGTCAGAGTTCTCTCAGCCCCACCCACCTCACAGGGTGTCTGTTGTGGGGAGGGGAAGGAGTTTGTAAGCCGCTCTGAGACACCTTTGGGTAGTGAGGGGTGGGGTATAAATCCAATCTCCTCCTCCTCCTCCTCCTCCTCCTCCTCCTCCTCCTCTTCTTCTTTGTAAATGCATGCATAAAGGAATTCGCAGGTGGAACTGTTTCTCTGTTAAAATGATCAGAGAGACGTGAATTGCACAGGAGCTCTGTGTGAGCATACATGTGCATGCCGATGAATGAATTCTGGTCTGGAGGCTACAGTTACAATCCAGAACATGCACTAAGTCACTCTTGTTCCTTAAAAAACAAGAGAACTTGCTTCTCAGCTGGAGAGTTACTTACTTATTTTTTAAGGAATTGTGGTGACCATTTTCCAACAGGAGAGTAATCTTTAAGTATCCACTAGTAAAACAGCTTGTAATTATTATACAGCTAGGAACAAAGATTTGTCCAGAAAATCCTGCTAAATCAAGACAGACCTGACTGATTAAAACTTTACTCATCAAGACATTTGTAATACATTGCAAGTGGGCATACAGCCTTTAAAGTGCAGGCCATCAATCTAGTAAGATTTATGGGAATAATCACAAACCTGCAGCTTGAGAGGGTACCAAACGGACAACGCAAAATGCACCAGACCCCTTAGTCACTCTTTTATGAAAAATAAGCTGTAATATGCTGTATTTTATAATGGCTGGGATCCTGTGACTCCCTTTTGTTAACTGGATCCCATGACTCTTTTTGGATCCTTTTCCCTCAAGGGAAAAAGGCTCCCTTCAGTGGAGGAGGATGGAAACAGTTCCCTGTGGGCAGAAGGCTTGCTGGAAGGGTATGTGATAGGATCCAACCCAAAGTCTTTGGATCAACATTCTCCCCATTTGGCATTATTCACTCTGAACAATTTTACTTTCTTATTAGTTAATGAAGGCTCACAGAAAAAAAGAAGCAAATATGATTAAGGGACTGGGATACATGATCAACTAGTTCACAGACAGCCCTCTGAATGAGTTGCTCAGTTCTTTGGTGGAAGGGGGAGAAAGACTTGCCGCTGCCATTAGCACTTTGTGATGAGCAGTCGCTTATTTGTATGAGTTTCTGCTGGTCAAATAATCAGGAAGAAAAGAAAAGAGATAAGACTGTAGGAACGGCCATGCAACTCATGAAGGGTCCCATGTGTAACAAGTGGGTGAAGAGTCCAATGGCCAGCATCCAAGGATGAAGAGCAACTCAGTCAGCTAGTTAAAGCCAACCGTTTATACCCTAATTTCACCTGGACCTGGCTAAGCAAACTGCCACATAAAAATGAGAAAACCGCTCAACTGAAATGAAAGAATGGAAGAGAACGTCAACATTATCCACTCACCTTCCAGTCTGATCACCAAAGGCACCTTCAGCTCAAGCTCCTGGCAGGCTTTGGTGATCCCGTTGGCTACAATGGCACAGTTGACAATCCCACCAAAAATATTGACTAGAATCGCTTCAACCTGGGCGAGGAAGAAAAATTCAGCACATCATCAGCCTTATTAAGAGCTTAACAAACCAGGACACAGAAGAAAAAGGCACAACTTCAGACCTCCATTTTATGATTCCAGCTACTATCTGAAGCAAATGGACACAGGGGAGAAGATAAATCAAACGGAGCTGAGCTCCACATCTGAAGAAATAGTTGAAACTTCCAGGGCCATGGCAACCAGATGCCTGAGGCTTTTTGGCTTTATTAAAGCCTGAATTGCTAGATATGACTTCAGGACATCTAGGCTCAGATGTGGGCAAACCAGGTAGCCACAAGCAAGGTAGAGGCTTGCAGCTTCCATCTCCCGCATATAAAATGGTAATAATGATGCACCATAGTGGGTTGTGAGGGAGATGCCACAAGGCAAAGTAGAAAATCACTTCAAAATATACTCTACAGATAGTGCGCCAGGGCTGGTGATCATTAGCACAACCAGCCCTTGTGACTGCCTTGGGAAACCGGCTCTAACGGTGCGATCCAGTGAAGGGTTACTTCAGACAAAGCCCAGACTGGAGTAACTCTGCATAGGCCAGTGCTGGAAGAGACTGGGGACGCAATCGGAGTTTGGAAATATCCCCTCTCTGCTCTAGCCACATCAGTGAGTGAAGAGGTTTTATTTTTCTCCTTTGTTGTTTTGAGATTTGTGCTACGTACTTTCCGCTGTGGTAAAACTAATCTAAAGCCATAGTCATTTTAAAGCGGGACACAGCAAGGTAAGCTTCAAAAGCAAATCTGCACCACTGTACAAACCTTTTCCCTTGCATTAGTAACGGTATTATTCTGCAGATGTTCCTCACTCCTGCACTCCTTGTGCGGGAAGGCACATTTAACCAGAATATTTCCCCCAAGAAAACAAAGCTGGCACAGAAAAGTAATCCTCCCAATCTATTAAAACTATAGTGCAATTATAGTACAAATTATAGCACTATTGGAATTAAGGGGGGATTCACAAGACTATTGAATGGATGCTAGAATGTGGCTGTGGTGGTCTCTGGCTAATGATGCAACAGGGTGAAAAGTCTGTAAATTAGTACCCTTAAGACATATAGTATACTGTCTATAAGGGAATCAAAGCTCAACAGGGGACCATCTTGGTAGACAGAGCTCTTGGGCAATCAGTCAGTGGTGAAAAGAGCAAAGCCATTCCAGTATATCACTTGTGTAGAAGAACAGCAGGAAGACTAGACACGTGAGGGGGGGGGAACTTCCTTAAATACTTCATCTGAATAATCTGAGCCACACCATTCTTAATGAAACCACTGGCACATATTCCATATTCAAAGCAGCACGGACTGGGAGGTAATGTACTTTGTCCTGACTTGATAAATAGGGGTAAGAAAATCCTTTATAATTAACAAAGAGAAGTAAGTAAGAGAATTCATTACAACAGATTAATTGATAAGTCCCACAGAGAAAAAAGCTACCCATCAACCTCAAGGAACCGAAATTCACCTAGTGCACAATTAAATTACCCCATGCAAACTCTCACAATTTATTTATTTAAAGCGTTTATAAGATTGCCTTTCTCTGAGGCAACTGGAACTCATTCACCTATTTAATTTCAGGCCATTCAAAATGAGTGGTTGGATTCAACCAACTTTTCTGCTGCTGAAAAATGGAGGAGGGAGTCCCCTTTGACAACCAAAACAGGCTACATTGGGGATCATGGGACATTCATGGGCAAAGCCTCATGGGACAGGAACTATAGTAAAGAAGGGACTTAGGTCAGATTGACTGAAACACCTGGCTAAGGCATCAATTGCTTACAAACCCACAAAAGTTCATTCCTATTGTCTATGAGTCCTCTCCATATGATGACTTCCTGCCAGGTCTACAGAGTGTCACTAAGTAGATCAGGTGAGTTTCAGCATGCCACAGTTTATTTATCAAAAAATATTTATATACCCGTCTCTTTCCTGAACACCTCAGGACCTAAGGTGGTAACAACAATGTAAAAACAACTGGACAAAAATAAGCATTAAAACCACTCTGGTCCTTCTAAGACACCAGCCTTCCTCCCCAACCTGTCGGGCTGAATTTTTTTTTTTTGCACACCCCTAGCCACGAGAGGATATAGGTTCCCAATGTGGTTGCAACTATACCAGCCACGTGGCAGATCAATTTAAGGAGGTGCGTTGACATCATTAAAGATAACGTAGAGGATTTCATGCCTAGTATAGATATTTTTAATTCCTACTGTGGGTCTTCTCATTTAAGGGTCTGCCTTTCTGTGTTCAAGCTGAATTCTAATCAGACCCTCTAATCCATTGCAGGCTACATGGGGGAAAAAACACATTGAAGGAAATTAGATTCAGTGCTGGATAACTGAGGTTTGTGTGACTGGCTTTAATAATAACAATAATGTAAATAAAATCAGTTAAATTAGAGAGGAGCCTGAATGAGTTCAATCAATAGGAAACTGAATCAGGTAAGGAATTTAATCTTGGGTTTTATTGTAATCTTATAAATAAGCCAAAAGATCACTTCAAACAGTAAAGTGATTCAGTTATGAACTCTGCTAAAAATTGGTGAATGTTGTTTATCGCTCCTTTGCTGCCCTAAATGGATTTTGCTTTTCTTTAAAACCGGTTTAACATTCAAGAGACGTATTTCGATGAAAGGGTTTATGCCGGTATTTTTTACATGCAGAAAAGGAGGAGGCTGGGAAAAGTGTCCGGTGGGGAAAAAGAAAACCACCTGCTGCTGCACATGGCAAACAAGCTCTCATCAACATAGTCAGCATCTGAGAAACACCAAATATAAAATGTGGATTGAGAACAGAGTGCCCTGCCTGCATATGAGACAGCTTGCCCTGTATGGCATATTAATGATTAACATTTCCACCTAACATCCGTGCCTTCCAAGTCAAAGCTTTATATTTCAAGCAGGAGAAAATTCAGATGCAAGCATCTTTGTCCAGTAACTGTTTGTTTTTACTGACACAGCAGACATGAAAGATCCATCAAAGGAAGCGATGCTAATATGCTAATATGTGAAGACATTATCTCCGCTTCTATGGCCAATGCGCAACTCATCAATACTGATGAACAATGCTGGGAAATAAGGTGCTACACGAGGATTGTTGGCAGGTTACAGCAGGTCCGCACAACCCACTCCTATAAGCTATATGTGTCTCTCTTTGTGGATACATCCGTATCAAGCTTTGAGGGATCGCAAATTGGCTATATATCTAAGGTATTTGCCTGCTTGAATGAAATTTTAGCAATTTGTTTATTTACAGCATTTATATCCCGCCTTTCCCAAAACTGTCCAAGGTGGTCTGTATCAAAGCAATGATCCAGCCAGTTTTTCAGGGGGTGGGAAAGGAATGAGGGGTCCCATCGGACCACCCAAAAAATGCTATGCTGGGGATCATGGGACCTGCATAGACAAAAGTCATGGAGAATGGGTGGTGTAGTAAGGAATGGGAATTGGTCTGGATTGAGAGAAAAAGCTGGCTGAATCTGAGCAATTTAAAAAGGCAACAGTCATAATAGCTTGGATCCAGACTAAGATTTCTGCTCATACAAGGCACTTGTCAGCAAAACACACCATTCATTCATTCATTCATTCATTCATTCATTCATTCATTCATTCATTCATTCATTCATTCATTCATTCATGGATTGCCCACCTTGCAAGCAGGTTCTGGGTGATTAACAGCATTTTAGACATTTAAAATACAATTGATATATGATTAAAATTACTAATAGTAACAGACATTAAAACCCATCAAGATGGCGATTTAAACCTCCATTGCATCTCACACCGCTATCCTTGCCTGTCTTGCCTTGTACTGCAGACCACAGATATCCTCAAAATGCTGATCCTGGGGGGAAAGTGACCAGAAGGAGAAACTGGTAAAAAATGATCCCTCTGCCTTTTGTTATTGGAAAATTAAGTCTGGATCCAACCTCATACCTATATCAGCATGGTATTACAAGTCACAGCCAATACTCCCTCTATGCTGTGGAGTCTTGTGAGCAAAAATTCTACTTTGTGAGCTACTAGTATTAAAGTTGTGAGTGAGCGATTTGGCTACTGCATAAATTAGTTTGCTCTGGAGCCATCCTCCCTGAGCGAAGACAAAAATGTGTGAGCCGGAGGCTAAACAACTGTGAGGTAGCTCACACTAACTCAGCTTAGAGGGAACACTGGCTCACAGCAAGTAACTACATCATTGTCAAAATAAGCAGTAAACATCTGCATGGCAGTGGATAAAGGGCATAATGTTTTCCAAGTAATAGATAGCATCACACAGGGTTAAGAACCAGGGGGAACAAAAAGATCTACACATTCTAAGAAGAGCTCCTGCCCCAAGAGTGGAAGGTAATCAAATGGTCACTGCAATAAAATATGTTTCTGCCTGAAGCTGTGATGACAAAAGGTGGTGCCATATATATTAGGTGCCATATAGTCTTCATATATTAGAAGCTGTCAAAGTATTTCTGCACAATGTAGTTCATTTCGTCCAGAAAATCTGGGATTTGTTCAGCTGCCACCTGTTCAGTAACCTTGTTCGAGTATGGTACATTCAAGACTGGCCAATAGTTACCCAAATCACCTGGGTCCAGGAAGGTTTCAGGGATAGGGCAACCATCCACTCTTTATAGGAGACATTAACTGCCTCTCGGGCCCAGTCAGCCAGTACCCCCCTTGGGCATTTCTGCCGCCAGGAAGGGCAAGGGTCATATAAACATGTGGCAGGCTTCAAACATCCAAGGGTTCTGTCCACATCCTCCATCTGAATAAACTGAAAAGTATTCCGAACAACTGGACAAGTAGGCACCCTGGCACCATCTAACCGCGGTACTGCCAATACAGAGTCCAAGTTAGTATTTATGTGAGAGATTTTATGTGCAAATTACAAAGCAAAATGATCACAGCAGGTCATTGAGCAGTTCACCTCCTTGTGCAGGTCAGACACCAACAGACTTTGACCATTTGAGAGCTAACATGGCACAGTGGGTG